AGGAATAGGCGTGGCCTAAACTTTTCGTTACTTTTAGCAAGCAAGTGGGGGGAAGACAGGCCAAAACAAACAATCCTGGAATACCTTCAATAGCTGGAGAGTGTGCCAGTGCAAAAAAAAAAAACGAGTAGTAGCCTAATCTTCAAGTACATTGCGGGGAGAGTGGGGCAATTATAATATTATACACCTTACCTGTTTCAGCAGGTTCCTCATGAGCGGAAACCCGCCCCCTACAGGGCTAGTTTACATGGTCACATGACCATCGAACGAGGCGGGCTGTCTGGAGGGGTTCTGGGACACCAGTGAACCTCAAATATCCATGGAGGTGGCCTGGTAGCCTCGTACACCACCCTGAAGCTGCAGAATAAGGGGAGGACCAGAAAAGAGACATTGTTGTATTATATATTGAAGAAATGCCAAACCATTTTAAACTAGGTAGGGAGCTGGTGGGAGAGAAGGCCGTTTGCTGCAATGAGAAAGAAGTGCCTATATACAGCTATAGTATAGAAACCATACTTCTCCTCCAGGGATGTCGCGTTAGGATTCCAACACAGACGAGGTTGTCTTTTGCTGCGGTGAGCAGATGGGTCAGAGTCCTGCGGGCACCAGGCGAGAGGGAGAGGCTCCCTTTCTGTGTCGCTCAGAGTTCTCATTGGCGAGGTGGCAAACTTCCAGGTCCCAGCGCTTCGTGGAGGAGAGGAAGAGGAGGGAAAATGAATACAACTGGACCCTCTCTAATGAGTAAGGACACTCTGAAATGAGGGACACTTCTCTAAAATTAAGGACACCTTTTTTCCCACAAGAACAGTTCTGAATGCAATTCAACCCCTGAAATGAGGACACATCTCTAATATGGACTTTCTCTGTACCAGTGGGTATCCAGCAAGAAGACTTTCACTGCAGGCTCTACAGTTGCCCCACGCATTACGTTCCTTAAACTGAGAAAATCTGATGCAAGACTTCGTGTTCTCGTTCAAATTTCAATATTACTACCTGGACGACAGGGCACTGCGATCGTTCCCAAAGCAGTAACCACTGGTTAGCAACGTGCTGGATGGCAGCTAATGGCATTGCGTGGACCTGGCATTCGGATCTGCAACCTTCAAAAATTACAGAAACACAAAACGTTAAATTTTGGGATCAAACTAAAAAATATGCAGCTTGCACAAAAATACAACAACTAAATTGTATTGATTGTCTGTAAAAATTACATGAATGATTGGCTCGTTTTTTCTCAAGTCCCATAAGGGACGATTTTCCGCTGGGAGGAAGTGGACGCAATTATGGTGATACCTAAAAATAAACCGAGTCATCCACTGGCACTAAAATAGGAAGTGTTGCAAATATCAGAAAAAGCGCTCACCTGTCTGTTCCAGGCTACGCCACTAATGTTTCCAGTGGGTGGAGCTTGTTGCAGGGCGACATGGGGCTGTCGGGATGTTCAAGTCCCAGATGAATATTTCGGAGTCGGGGCCTCCGGAGGCGAGGAGATGGGTGGATGGAAAGGGTTTGTTTTTTTTAAAGTCGATGGTCGGACCGGACGGTATGGTGGAATCATTTGTTTCAACTGGGCCCCTTCTGTATTCAATGTGTTTGAAAGAAGTAAATAAATTTAATAAAGGTGAATACGCCGATAACCTAATACATAGTTTGCTCATACAAGTTCTAACATAAGTTAGTGTGTTGGAAAGTAGATTGTCATTGATAATTTGAAGGGAGGTTTTATCTTATACAAAAATGAGTCCATATAAAAATTGAGGATGCCTTAATACGTAGACTTAACAAATTTAAAAGGCGGCGTTTGTTATTTACAAAAAAAGAAGTTTCATTCAAAATTTGGAATGCTATAGAATGCAACCGACCAACAAAGCCGGTGTAAAGAAAGTGAGAGGAAGAGGGGATAGTGAACGAGAAGAGAGTGACCTGATGATTTGTCGGCGGCCCAGAGGGTGATAGTTCCATTGTCAGATCCACCTGCTATGACCCCACACGCGTTAACCCTTTCCTGACCATGGGCCGACCAGGCCAGCTTGTGAAACCTAGGGGTATAAAAATTGCATACAATGTACGGATGAAAAGCATCACAGAGAATAATTATAAAAAACAACAAACATATTTGAGAAAGTGAATCATCATGCTCTATATAGAACGACTGCTATTGCGTAACTGTTTGTGAAAAGATTCAAAAGATTCATGGATGGAAGCATTACGCTAATGTTCAGTCGGATGGTATATACAACAAAAGACAGATAGAAAAAAGGGAAAAAAAGAGAAAAATAGTGTATTTATGTATGCACTAGAGACACAATACAGTAACGATAAGAGACCTCAGAGGTGAGTCAACAGTTCCAGCCAGTGGCACGGCAAGTCCAGACGACGCCAAATCCAGCGAAAACACTTCCAGCCTTGCGCTTGTACTGAACGAGGAAGAAATTTTGAACAACAAAATAGTAAATTTTAGCATCGACATAAAACTAGCAATAAAAATTACGGTCGACCGCTCATCAACATGTAACAGATACGTTGTTTGTTGGTGGCAGTGGATGTACCTGAATGTGGCGTCCAGTTGCTGCGCGACGGTTCCACAGGCGATGTGTACGTCTTGCATGGTCGCAGGAGACCAGGCAACGTTCGCAGTTCGAGCTATCTCCTTCACCTTCATCTTCTTCCCTTCTTCTCCCGGCTCGCTTTACTTGGAGACGAATACTGTAGCTTTTAGATAGCTTTTGGGGAAGAAGAACACACGTGTCAGGCGACGCAAAATAACCCTTTGTCCCCGAAATTTGTGACGTGTAAAAAGTTGAGGCGTATAGTCACGTGATAGTCTGATGATGTATGGACACGCCCATCTCTGTGCGCGCACGTGCTGTGTGTGGTCTTTGTGATTTTTTTGTAGGCGTTTCTCTTTCCGAAGAAGCAGGACGCCAGCTTGCCTAATGGTGTGGTAGACAAGTAGCAGAAGGTGCCAAGTTCTAGATCGTGTGTACGGTGAACTGACAGCAAGCTACTGTGATCTGGAGGAACGCGCAAATTCAGCGCTTGTTTTGGCTGGCCGTCGTTGGGGGTGCGTCAATTGGAACATTGTTTTGTAGGTCGCCCTACCCAAAATCTAATCGGAGTGGCCGGGTGAGTTAGAAGATGCGCATATAGAGCAAGCCAGCATTTTATAACGTGTTAATTCATTTGTGTGGTTAAATGTCATTTCCTATATTTACCTCCATTCTACAGTTCTTGCATGCAAACAACCTCTGAAATAAGGACACCTCGCTAATATGGACACTTTCTTCTTCCTCTGCCTCCCTCTTTCTCAAACTCTCGGTTCCCCATACTCTCGGTTCCCCATACTCTCGGTTCCCCATACTCTCGGTTCCCCATACTCTCGGTTCCCCAAACTCTCGGTTCCCCATAATGTCTTTATACAGCTACGATGGCAGAAACAACTTCCTCCCAGAACGTGCGGCTGGTGGCCGTGAGCCTAAAGAAGAGCTACTCTCCATCGAAAGTGAAATCAAAACTCCTTCGCTCGATTCGGCTCTCGGAGAGACGCGAACAGAAAGCTCCGCCTATTTCTCATCCTCTTAGCCAGTGGCGGGATCGCGTCCACACTCTCCCGGACTTACCAGCCAGTCAAGTGAAACAGGTTATGGTGTATACTTCTCTACTAGAACATGCTGTTTAAGCATTATGTAATGGCTAAATATAGAAATTGTTACTATTAACAGAAATCAATTGCATTCTTGTACGGGCATATAAATTTAGCCCGTTAATTCGGCAGGCTAAATTATCCACCAGGCCCTATTTATAGTTCGATCTTTAGTATACAACATTTCTAAATTTAATCCTTTAGTACTGTATGATTCCCTTAATGTATGTGTATGTACTAAACAATGGGACCCTGAAGAGCAAGAATGCTATGTATCTGCTTTTAGCAACAGTTTCTAAGTTTAGCCCTTAGTGCAGTACTGCCACATTCCTTTTAGTATATAGTATATTATACATAATTATGTATATATATATTGTATAATATTGTATATATTGTGTACACCATTACTATTACTATTGCAGGTTGTATCAAACTCACGGTACATTGTGTTTCTACTATCTGATGGTCGAGTGTGTAGACTGGCAGTCACGTCTTCAGCTAGTAGGAGGAACGATGCCCACGACAATGAGGGTACAAGTAATATCTTATCGGGCCATTTGTTTTTGGAAATTTTGAGGGGAGAGGTAAAATTTTGTGACCGATGTGGTGATGAAATTCAAGTGTGCTATGATGCAACCTGTGCATCAATTGGAAGGATCCTTGTTACGACTAAGTTTGAGTCACGAAATTTGCTATTGGTTACTCAATGCATAGTATGCCATAAGAAAAACAGGTTATGAACGTGGGTTACGAGCTAAGAACAATGAAAAATGCTGACCAGCAGATTTCGTGACTCAAAACTTAGTCTTACCTGAAGAACCGACCGGAAGGATCCTCAGGCTTCTAACGAGCGTAGATTTCACATACTTGTTGTCTAACTACTATAGGGTGCTAATCTGTACGTACCGCTATTTAAGGATGGGCTTATGTTTTATGGCATCTAAAGGGTTAAATTTTATTTTCCACTTCTCACTTTTCATGACTAGCTGACCAGCCAAGTTTCCAGGTGCTGAGTGATGCTGAGTACGCCAGACAGCTGGAGTCTGAACTGAGGAGTGGGAGACTAGGGGAGGGAGGGAGGAGAGGAGGAGGAGGGAGCGAAGGAAGTCGAGTGGCAATTATATCCAGAGCTCCAGGTATACAGTAGGTGTACACTTAGAGAGAGAGAGAGAGAGAGAGGGAGGGGAGAGAGGGAGGGAGGGAGGGAGGAGAGGAGGAGGAGGGAGCGAAGGAAGTCGAGTGGCAATTATATCCAGAGCTCCAGGTATACAGGTGTACACTTAGAGAGAGAGGGAGGGAGAGAGGGAGGGGAGAGAGAGAGGGAGGAAGGGAGAGGGGAGAGAGAGGGAGGGAGAGAGAGAGGGAGGAAGGGAGGGGGGAGAGAGAGAGAGAGAGGGAGAGGAGAGAGAGAGAGAGAGAGAGAGAGAGAGGGGAAGAGAGAGAGAGGAAGGGAGAGCATGGGTATATATAGTACGATGTAAAATGATACCGAAACTACAGCTATCTGTGTAGGTAACTTTTACCCCATATTTCGTCTACGCCCCAATTTTACCTTCCCGCTCCGAATTTCCAGAAAAACAAACTGTTCATGCAGTCCCTGATCAGCCAGCCAGTATACCAGGGAGCCAATTGTGTTCTGTCTTATTCCCCCTCACAGAGGTCCCACGGGAGGACGTTGGGCAATTGTTAATCGGCTCCGTACCGGTCATGCCTCCAATGTTGGATCTCTCGACGCCGTTCGCCGTCCCCTCGCTCCTCTCGTTCGACTATCCTAGCAACAGCATGGGAGAGGTGCCCACCTCCGGACCCCTTCGTGGCTGGACCCAGTTACCACTTTCCACCTACTATAATATGAACAGGTACACCACAAGACAGTATGTGTCCATGTGACATGATAATGCAATACACTAAGTATAGTAGTCATACTGTAGTATGCAGTGGTGCTCCTCTATAATGGTAAATAAACCCCTGCAATAAAGGACACCTCTCTAATAGGGACACTTTTCTTTCCCAAAGAACAGTTACTTTCAACCTCTGAAATAAGGACACCTCACTAATACGGACACTTTCTTCTGTCACATCGGTATCTGGATTAGAGGGTTCCACTGTATATAATATCAAATCAAATTTGTCACAACCATTTTAAATATGTATGCATGTCATAAACGTGTCACTAATACAGTAGTGTACTTACAATATGTATATAATATTATAGATGACCCTGCATCATGCTCATACATTTGAAATTTTCTGTATATGTAATATGTATGTAAGTATGATGCCATTACGCAGTGAAAGGGAAGGAAGCTCGTTGTACTACCGCCAGCCTGGCTCTATCGCATCACCCCTGGACGACTCCGGCGGAGGGGGTGGGGATAGCTCCCTCGTTGGTCCAGGGTCTTCCCCGGGAACCGGTTCTAAACCCGACAAACCGGTTCAGCAGTGGCCTGCCGTCGGCTGCCTCCAGTGGGCTCTCGATGAAACAAACGTGAGGAGTTTGTTACTGCATTCTACAAATAGAACTCCTCTAATCCAGACACCAATGGGACAGAAGAAAGTATCCATATTAGTGAGGTGTCTTTATTTTAGGGGTTGAATTGCATGCAAGAACTGTTCCTTGGGAAAGAAAAGGTGTCCTTATTAGAGAGGTGTCCTTATTTCAGGAGTGTCCTTAGAGAGTGTATTCCCTCTTTTTTTACCAATAAAGTAAATTTTCTACATTTCGTTTATGATCCTTCTCCTTCTTCCCTTCTTCTTTCTCCTCTTGTCATCTCCCTCTCTTTCCTCCCCACATCCCTCTCTCTTTCCGCAGGGTGACAAGACGCTATTCTGCGACGTGGCTGCCCTCCATTCGGAAGTTCTTCTGGTGTCGAAAGAGTCCCAGTTGCTCTACAGGTTGGTTGCGTCTTTACTCAGTGGGGAGAGGGTGAAATAGTGGGGTTGTGTGGTTAGACCGTTAAATTGTGGGGCACAGTGGAGAGAGGGTTAAATTGTGGGGCTGAGTAGAGAGAGGGTTAAATAGTGGGGCTCAGTGGGGAGAGGGTTAAAAGGTGGGGCTTAGTGGAGAGAGGGTTAAATACTCCTAGTGTTTCTGTTGCAGTTGGTCTTGTGAAGATGATGAAAATCCCGCTGTAAAGCCACACCCACTTAACGAGAAACTGGGGCTCTCAGACGAAGCCATAGCAGTGCTTGAATCCAGCGAATGCCGGGCTACCATAGCAACCGTATCCGGGAAACTGGCAACGTTCTATGACACTTTACTCAGAGGTTAGAGTACAGTTTATGAGAATTGCACAGCACATGCTAAAAAGAAGCGAAAAAGAAGATAAAACTCATTGCATAAGCTTTACTAAATGAAAATCTGACTTTTCTTGACACGTATGTACTGTGTAAGAATATGCGTTAAAATTGCGATAATAATAATATGACATTGCAATTTGACACATGCCGTGAGAATATGTGGATTTTTTAATCCCTATCAGATTGTCCGTGCTCTCCCCCATCCCTCATCAACTCACTTTCTCACGAGGCGACAGAGTATCCGGAGCTGAAGGGAGACAAAATATCAAAACTGACCGTTTCCAATTTTCTGACTGTAGCCACCACTTCCTCTGGACGAGTTTTCTGGTGGTGAGAAAATTTCATCTTGGTGATTTGACGATTTAACCCTGAGATCAGGACACCTCACTAATCAGGACACTTTCTTCTGAGATCAGGACACCACTAATCAGGCCACTTTCTTCTGAGATCAGGACACCTCACTAATCGGGACGCTTTCTCCTGAAATCAGGACACCTCACTAATCGAGGAATTTTATTTGAGATCAGGACACCACTAATCAGGCCACTTTCTTCTGAGATCAGGACACCTCACTAATCGGGACGCTTTCTCCTGAAATCAGGACACCTCACTAATCGAGGCATTTTATTCTGAGATCAGGACACTTCACTAATCAGGACACTTTCTTCTGAGATAAGGACACCTCACTAATCGGGACACTTTCTCCTGAGATCAGGACACCTCACTAATCAGGACACTTTTTATGTGGCCTTTGTATGATAGTTATTCAATACCTCTCAAATGCATGTGACTGTCATGTGATTATCACATGACTCTTTATAATTCTCCAGGGGTTTAACACCTCAACCCAAGAAGGACCCCTCCCCCTCCTCACCGCCAACTCCTCAGAGGGAACGCAAGCAGGCAGGGGGGCGGGGGCAAATTTCCGACGGTTCCCTCGTCCGTCTGAAAAACGGGCCCCCGTGTGGTCCAAATTCAATCGTGTTCACGAGATCTTCCACTCACGGACCGCAAGTCGGCAGATCTGTTTCAGTAATGGAGAGAAGCTCAATCGATCCGAAGACCTCCGTCCTGGTCAAGGTTTTCCGCGATCGAACGGGCAGCTCTTCCTCAGCCCAGTCAAATTTCGAGCTCGCCTGTCAAAATTTACACGGGTCGGCCAATATTTACAGCGGGTTGGAGGTGTGGAAATTGAGCGACGTCGTGTTTTTGGACGATTCTCCGTCGATTCTCGGCCGTGTGATCGCCGTCGATGGAGCACAAGTTGTAGTTGATTGTAGCTATTCTGAAGCCGGCACCGATCTTGGTGAAGGAACCAGCAGTGCGGCAAAGAGCTCGCTCAAAGTTTTCCGACTCAGCGACCTCGAAGGGTGCATAGAGGGACCGGATTTTCAGAGTAGGGGGTCTAATATTCACGCGGGGGAACCCTCAACTTCTAGTACAAACCCCCAACCCCCTCCTCGGGCTATAACTCACCACGTCGCCGGCGTCGTCCAGCACAGACCCGTCTGTCTAGTCGAATCTCTCTCCACCACTTCCTCTAATGCGACCGGCAGAAATACCGGTTCTTCCAATCCGGAGCCAATACCCCAGTCTCAGACGGGACAGTTGAGGGGATTTCGATCGCTGGCTGCTCACGCGACTGATTCCGGTCCCAATCTTCTAGTGGAGCGAATCTCTGACCAGGCCGCTTTCCTCGTATGCTCCGCCCACTTGACGATGTCGGGGATAACGGGACCTCGTTTGTCGCCGTCGGTAACCACGACACCAAGAAGAAGCGATCGACGGTCGTTGAAGAAACGGTGAATTCTGTTGAAAGTGGGCTCGCTGGCGACAGATCACTCGTGCAGACCGTACAAAACTTGTCCAACCGGTTTCAAAGCGGTTCCGAGGGAGATGTCAGTGAAAGTGTGGTCCCTAAGAAAGCAGCCGCTGTGAAACCCAGCGGTAAAGAGTCTCACTCGGGGAAGACAAGAGGGTCGTCAAGAAAAGGTAAAGGTGTGTCTTCGATGGCCGGTAAGGGATCGAGTCGAGGAAAACGCTCGTCGTCGACCAAACACGTGCATTTCCAACGAGATAAGGTTGCCGTGGATACCGGTGCCGGGACGGTTGGTCCCGATCCCGCTCCAAAATCTTGTGTCACGAGTTGCGAGTTTGTACCGCTCTCCGCCGATCATCCGGACCTGTTTTTCGTTCGCGACGCCGGTGGTACGATTTGGCCGCTGTTGGACGGTCTCGGTCTCGCACCCACCCCCCCTGAGTGTGGTACCACTGGGAGACCGAAGAGACCGGTACGGAGCTACCGGTGCGTCAGTGTGAGGCAATACGCAGTGCAAGGAGAGGACCGAGTTGCCGTATTCGTGCTAGGTGCGTAAGTTGCAGATTATGATTATTCTGCAATAATAAGTTATATTACGTACATACAAAAGTGAGGTAGAGAGGCAAAGGAAAAGCTAGCCTGTCAACTACACCCAGGACAGCTCTCTTTCCAAAAGAAGAGCTGTCCTGGGTACTGGATTAAGTTACAATTGCACAGCTACTGCACCTATGTTTGTATGTAGCTTTTAATTGCTGCTGCATGAGTGTATGTAATTGCAACATCCAAAAATCTTGCATATTTCGACATTCGCTGTAATTCTCTGGCCAATGTTTATCTTTCTCTCACTCTCTCTTCCACAGTCCCTCAAGAGAAGACCTTACTCTTGGCCGTACAAAATGGATCGATCGAAACAGTTGCTTCTATTCTCTCTGAGATCTGTACCCAAATCAGCTCATCGTCCCCCTCCACCACTAGTGCCCCTGCGAACGACAGAGGAGACGGAGTGGCTGCAAAACCGGTTACGAAAACTGGTTCGGGACCCGAGACGATGGATACGAGTGAATCGCCGTCTAGTAAAACAAGTTTAGATGGAGGTAAAGGTGGGGCTGGAGGGACGAAAGGAGCTGAAATTGAGAGAGAAAGCAGAGCTGAGCAAACCTTCCGAAGAAAGAGAAAGAGCGAACCATCTACTGAACCTCACGTAAGAAAGAGGAGAAAATCGAAAGACGAGAAAGAGACAGGGAAGCAAGAAGACTCTTCGACATCAGCAGTTACCGTGGAAATTGGCGGGAAACTGGTTACCACGGAAATTGGCGGGAAAACACTTCCGATGAAAGGGGCGGGGTTTGACAACGCAGCTGTTCTTCTAGAGACTGGGGTTGACAATTGTAACATTCTCCATGTCTGCTGTGGAGGTGGGGGTGGGGGAGGGGTTGGCGAGGAGCTGACTGGGAGAAGACTGGACATACTGGACAGAATCCTGTCCTGTAAACCTGTCAGACCTGTTATTACCAGACTGGTAAGGTGTTAGAGAGGTCGAAATACAAGACAAATAGTATAATGATAGTAAATTAATCTTCAAGGAGGGTCATTTTTGGAAATGCACCAAAAAACCCTTTGGACGCCATGGGTATCTCCTTTAATAAGCAGAAATTGATGTAATGTATTATACTCCCATATAAGTTTATGGAGGCTCTGGACATATTTATATGTCCGTGGCTTGCTAAGGGTTAATTAATTGTCTATTTTTGCTCTGCTTATAGTTCCATTCAAAATTTTTATTTTTATTGTCTCTCCTTTTTTTGTTACGTACGTACGGATGTAGATGTGTTGCAGAAATGCGTATGGCAACGTTCCGTTCCAACACGCTCTCTGTCACCGTAACTATGCAGCTGCTCTCAAACTACTGGAGTTTGTCACCGAGTTGTTGCCGGGTGAGTCACATGACTTTTGGAGGTGATCACATGATCATTATATAACAACTTGATGATGGAGTGATTGTCTGATTAAACCTCTAAATAGATTTTCAACTGTTGAGGTGTCCTGTAAACTTACGAATATGTAATTCAACTACTCGATGTTACTGTTGTATAATATACAGGTGGTTTGCAACGGGGAGTAAAACCGGTTGCAGACCGGAAAAACGAGTTTCAGAGCCTCTTCAACCGGGCCATACTGGATCCGGGATCGCTCGGCGTACCGCCACTTCATTCCCTCCTGACCAGTTTTGGAGACGCGACCGACGTAACTTCCATGAAGCTCCACATCTCGCGACTCCCGCAGAGCTACACCGCCCAGCAACTGCTCAAGTTGTTCCAGAAACGATATCCGTCCGTCTACAAGACGAGGATTTTCAAAGCGGAAGATGAGGAGGAGGGAGGGGAAGGGGACAGAAGTGACGACGGTGAGAAGGAAGTGAAGATGACTTCATTTGTGTGCCGAGGGAAAATAAATATAGAAAGAGCATACTGTTGAAATTTTTGTGAGAAAGAAAACTAGCAAATTTTTGTGCTTGTGAGCCAAATTTTAGTGCTTGTGAGCCAAACATTTAGTGTTTGTGAGCCAAATTTTAGTGTTTGCGAGCCACGAGAAGCTGAGTTCTAAAATTTTGTAGGCTGGCCAGTGTGCTGCTTACGACTGTCCCTGAAACAGGCCAAAAAACCCAACCTCCCTTTGCTTTACTGTACCTACATATGTATACACGTACACGTGTATACATATGTAGGTAAGCAGCACACTGGCCAGCCTACAAAATTTTAGAACTCAGCTTCTTGTATAGGTGTATAGAAGGAGCCAATGTACTGTATGCAATACTTCTTTATGCTGTGTATGCCACAATGTCCCTAGTAGTACTATGGCAGCTCTTTGAGTATCAGTGTAGGCTGGTACTGTACCTACATATATACACATCATACATTTAGTACACGTGTATATAGGTGTGTAGAAGGAGCCTCTGGAATTGTCCTATGTACCAATGTACCAATGTACTGTATGCAATACTTCTTTATACTGTGTATGCCCTAGTAGTACCTACATACACATCATACATTTAGTACACGTATATATAGGTGTGTAGAAGGAGCCTCTGGAATTGTCCTATGTACCAATGTACCAATGCAATACTTCTTTATACTGTGTATGCCCTAGTAGTACCTACATACACATCATACATTTAGTACACGTATATATAGGTGTGTAGAAGGAGCCTCTGGAATTGTCCTATGTACCAATGTACCAATGCAATACTTCTTTATACTGTGTATGCCCTAGTAGTACCTACATACACATCATACATTTAGTACACGTATATATAGGTGTGTAGAAGGAGTCTCTGGAATTGTCCTACATACCAATGTACCAATGCAATACTTGTTTATGCTGTGTATGCCACAATGTCCCTAGTAGTACTATGGCAGCTCTTTGAGTATTAGTGTAGGCTGGTACTGTACCTACATACACATCATACATGTAGTACACGTGTATACAGGTGTGTAGAAGGAGCCTCTGGAATTGTCCGATGTACCAATGCAATACTTCTTTATACTGTGTATGCCACAATGTCCCTAGTAGTACTATGGCAGCTCTTTGAGTATTAGTGTAGGCTGGTACTGTACCTACATACATGATGTAGTACACGTGTATAGGTGTATATGGAATTGTCCTACAATGTACCCATGCAAGTAGTACTATGGCAGCTTTTTGAGTATTAGTGTAGGCTGGTACTGTACCTACATACATGTAGTACACGTATATATAGGTGTGTAGGTAAGTCTCTGGAATTGTCCTACAGTATGTACCAATGCAATACTTCTTTATACTGTGTATGCCACAATGTCCCTAGTAGTACTATGGAAGTATCAGTGTAGGCTGGTACTGTACCTACATACACATCATACATTTAGTACACGTGTATATAGGTGTATAGAAGGAGTCTCTGGAATTGTCCTATGTACCAATGTACTGTATGCAATACTTGTTACCCTCGGCGCGCATGCGCAGCGAGGGTACTGTAGTTGGGTCTGTCTGTTAGTCTATATCTCACTCCTCGAACGTCTGTTCGTCCCAGAAACGATACCATCTACCCAACGGGCGACGAAGGTCAGAAAATAAAGGCGGTTTTCTCTGAAAATGCTCCGTTGCAAAGCTAGAGCGCGAAAAAGCCAATATGCAAATACACAACGGACGGGATGGCTTACCACAGTCGGATCGATCCGCGTGCTCTGCGTACTTAACTTCGGAGGCACCAGAAGATGCAACGCAGGGCGTGTATCGCCTCTCGCATGCTAGTAGTGTAGTTAGCCCGCGTCAGACTCTGCGTGAGCTGGCAAGAGACCACGAGTAACAGCTAAAATTAAACCCAGCCCATCAATTAGTGGTACGGCGCATGCGTTTACTGACGCGTGCGCGTCACAGTGCGCCGAGGGTTTGCACTTCAGTGCTTTTCATTTATACTGTGTATGCCACAATGTCCCTAGTAGTACTATGGCAGCTCTTTGAGTATTAGTGTAGGCTGGTACTGTACCTACATACACATCATACATTTAGTACACGTGTATACAGGTGTGTAGAAGGAGCCTCTGGAATTGTCCGATGTACCAATACAATACTTGTTTATACTGTGTATGCCCTAGTAGTACTACAGCTTTTTGAGTATCAGTGTACTGTGTGTACATAATACGATGTCACAGGTGACAGTGAAGAGGAACTACAGCAGGAAGGTGGAGTGAGGCTCCCTGGTGGCAGTACAAGACGAGGCCGAGGGTTGTCACAGGCTCTCGGTGGTCGCCGTCGGCAACAGTCATTCTTCAACAGTTCGTCGTCCTCGATGATGACATCACAGAGGGGCGTGGTCTATTTCTCTGATCTCGACCAGTTGAGAGCTGCCTTGAAAGAAATGCATAATTATAGACTTGTGACACGGACGTCGCGCAGTGGTGGTGAGGGGGTTAAATAGGGTTGTGAAGGGGTTAAATAAGATAGGTGTTGAGAGGGTTAAATAGGGTTGTGAAGGGGTTAAATAGGATTGATGTTGAGAGGGTTAAATAAGATTAGTGATGAGGGGGTTAAATAGGGCTGTGAAGGGTTCAATAGGATTGGTGTTGAGAGGGTTAAATAGGATAGTGAAGCTTTTCTCAAGTGCCAATGGACATCATGTGATTATCACCTGATAGGTTTTGCAAGTCAGGTGACCTCCATCTGTTATTTGGACGTCCGGTTGGACGATGACTTTGGCCAATCTGACGATGATGACACTAGTCTTCTCCATGGCAACCAGTCTCTGCTTACCCTCTCCCATGGCAACAGCTTGAGAGACAGACAAAAGCCCGACAGAGGAAAAAGTACCAGTAAGGTACATACAATATGATGTTGTTACCTTTTTGAAGTAGATTAACATACGTAATAGCACAGGGATCATTAATGCACTGCACACTCCAGCTATAGTCAAGGTATTCAGTTGGCCTGTCCTTCCCCCCACTTGCTTGCTAAAAGTACGAAAAGTTTAGGCCACCCTATTCTTTCACTGCACACTCCAGCTATAGTCAAGGTATTCAGGATGGTTGGTTGGCCTGTCCTTCCCTCCACTTGCTTGCTAAAAGTGCGAAAAGTTTCTCTATGTGCATACTGGTGTGGCATAGTAATCTTCTTTGTAAGCAACAAAAATGCTGTTTTTTCCACAGGTGTCCGCCACGCGGAAGGCCCACACACTGTTCAACAAACTCTTGAGCTACACTGAGGTACTATATGTTGGCTTTTTCGCAACTCTGTTTTGTATTCGAACCCTCTAACTTGATATCTTAACCTTTTCCTCCTCAGTACTATATGTTGCCTTTTTCGCAACTCTGCTTGTATTCGAACCCTCTAACTTGATATCTTAACCTTTTCCTCCTCAGTACTATATGTTGGCAACTCTGTTTGTATTCGAACCTCTAACTTGATATCTTAACATTTCCTCCTCAGTACTATATGTTGGCAAATCTGTTTGTATTCGAACCCTCTAACTTGATATCTTAACCTTTTCATCCTCAGTATATATGTTGGCAACTCTATTTGTATTCGAACCCTAAGTTGATATCTTAACCTTTTCCTCCTCAGTACTATATGTTGGCAACTCTGTTTGTATTCGAACCCTCTAACTTGATATCTTAACCTTTTCCTCCTCAGTACTATATGTTGGCAACTCTGTTTGTATTCGAACCCTCTAACTTGATATCTTAACCTTTTCCTCCTCAGTACTATATGTTGGCACTCTGTTTGTATTCGAACCCTCTAACTGATATCTTAACCTTTTCCTCCTCAGTACTATATGTTGGCAACTCTGTTTGTATTCGAACCCTCTAACTTGATATCTTAACCTTTTCCTCCTCAGTACTATATGTTGGCAACTCTGTTTGTATTCGAACCCTCTAACTTGATATCTTAACCTTTTCCTCCTCAGTACTATATGTTGGCAACTCTGTTTGTATTCGAACCCCCTCTAACCACATGCTCCTTGATATTGAATTAGGTTTAACAACACTTAGGACCACATGCTCCTTGATATCTTAGCCTTTTCCTCTTCAGAAAGCAGCTGCTGTCGATTACATTGGCTGTTTTCAGTTAAGAGGTCCTCAGCTGTTGTTTGCGCTAAGTACCAATCGATTTGGAAATAACAATTGTTTGTTTAATACGCGACGACGATATTCGCGACTCGGAAAAATGAGCGTGTGTGTGTGTGTGCGTGCGTGCAAAATACGGAGTACCATTAGTGGTGAGCTGAGAATTGTAATGTGTTGAAGTAGGAGGTTGGAATAGCAGTGCTATCTCTCCCTATCTCTCCTCTTTTTTATTTAACTGTCTCCCTTCCAAGTAAGGGTTTGAACGGTTTTGCATTTTTTGTAGGCACGCGAGAAAACGAAATGACAAACCAACCATCCATAGTAGATAGACTAATACTATATACGTATACGTATACATATCTACAGGTTTGTACGGCCGTAACCAAGGACGGTGACACTACACTAATGACACTTGTCCACAACCCAAAGGTGATGGCGTCTCTCCAACAGGCCAGCAGGTGCCGGGAAGACGACACGCCCCCTGCACCAGGTCCGATTCCGGTTCCAAATATCTTTCCCTGGTCTCATTCCTGTTCCAGTCCCTGTCTAATTCTGTACTTGTGGTAACTTTACTCACTACGGTGGGACCTCTCTCTAAGGACACTCCTGAAAGGAGGACATAATCTCTAATAAGGACACCTTTTCTTTCCTCAAAAGCAGCTTGCATGCATATGGTATACATTCAACCTGCCTATTGTGACAACCCTGTAAGATCAATAAAGACTACTTGATATGAAGTACTGTACAGTATTAGTCGCCCAATAATGCTGTGGATCATTATATAGAAAAACAGTAAAACAAATCTCCTAAAAATATTTTACTGAAGTGTACCAAAAATCTTATCAGGTTTTCCTTCATCACGTCTTGCATTGTCGGACATACTCGAAGGTCGCCATTCCACGTCACTCCAGCAGTATGGAACCGCGAGCAAGGAGGACGAAAGAAAACTGGCCACAGCAACCAGGTCCCCGGGGTTGTGTTTACCTGTTCCTGTGGCGACGCGACTCCGTCGTCGTCCCTAGCAACCACCCCGACCCAGCCCACTGCTAGTGTTCGTCAACCGGTCTTGCAGCTATACAAAAACCAGTTTTGAAAACTAGTTCTACTGGTACTCGAAATGGGTAACGCGATAGTGGTCCAGTTGCTATCCAGGAATTCCCCAAAATGGTCTTGGGACAATTTTGAAAAAGAGGACAAAACATAGCAACTTGCTGCCGCAAAAGCATGGCCTTCCACTTTCCATTCGGACCTTTTGACCTCCGTTTTGCAGGAGGACCTGGAACCGTCCGAAACCGAACAACCGTAACACACACCAACAAACACAACACGAGCAACAACGAAAGCAAAAGGACGAAGGATAGGCATTCGTCGGTGTTGCTAGCCGCAGTTTTCTGTGTGTGGCGGCGAGGCTTCCCATTCCCTGTCCACTGAATCCTGGAACCGGTCGGCGACGGGCACAGTACACACTGGACGTGTACCTGAAGCCCAGTTACGCAATCGCGTTACTCCTCTCGTCTCTTGAGCTAATGTCTTCTGCAAAAATACGCTACTAACAAAACCTTTGCGCGGTCCGATACAGAGGGATTTGCGACAATCGGATTGGCAGTTAACCCGAGGAGAAACTGAGGCGATCTCAGGTAGCTTGTAGATACCCGTCTGATTGTATTTTACCCTTGTTTGTCTCGTCGTGTCGTAGCGTCGACTGCGATTGATTCCGTTAGAGCGTGGAGCAGAGGCATTTTCAGGAGGGGATTCGAGATTGATGTATTGGCCTTCGAACCTCCAAAGTTTTGTTCGAATGTGTCTTTGACGTATCTCACGGTTTATTAATTACCATACGTTTGTTTCGTGAAAATAATAGACCTGGACTCTTTGGTTCTTGTCTGCTTAGAATGGTTTACTCAGATTTTGTATGGCACCACGCCAGTCTTGTGGGGTATGAATTCTCCTTAGTTCAGAACCACAAGTGCGGGGCGCTCAGGTCCCGCCTTGAAACTCGTAGCGCAGATAGAGAAGTTGGCAGTATGGCTCGCGGGGATGAGGGCCCACAGACCGTCCCGAGCTCGCACATCTTTTTTCTCTTGGTGCATCACATTGTTTGTGTCTAAAAATGTGTTCAGGAACTTTACAACGTCAGGTGTCTAACCTGAGGGGTCTCCTGATCAAGCCTGATGATATGCCGGTGGGGACACGGG